GAAGAAAGGTCCTTGAAATGCACCATGGTTGAAGTTTGGATGTTGCGAAAATTGAACGAGTACCTACAACAAGTAAAGAAAAGCAAATTAATCATCTTTATGAAAGCCCGGTAGCTTCACGCTTCAGCCCGACAGCTTCCCGTTCAGCCCGGTAGCCTCCCGGTTCAACCTGAACAGTGTTCGAACAAGTCCTTTTCCGCCCGAAAGCTCCCGAATTGGTTCATTTCAGCCCGGACAGCTCCAAAATCACCCCGTTTTGGCCCGAACAACTCCAAAATAGCCCCGCTTCAGCCCGACAGCTTCCCGTTGAGCCCGGTAGCTTCCTGCTTTAGCCCGACAACTCCCGAACGGCCCGGTTCAGCCCAAAACAACCCACTGGCTCATCCCAAACAGCTTTGCGAGCATTTCAAACATGCACGTCGAGATAAAGAAAGAAAAAAAAAAAGAAAAGGAAGAATCACAAAATACCTCTTGAGTAATTGATCAAACACCTTGTGGTCGTATTGTTGGGGGAAGGATGTCTAAGAAGCCGTTGATATAGCCTGCCAAATTTGAACAAAACAGCAGCAACACAAAGTAATTAGCAACAAAAGACAGAATCTGTTTTACAGAAGGGAAAAAAAGAGGGAAAACTGAAGTACCTACTCTTCGAATGTGAAGAAGGGCAAGGATAACTGAGGCCTTTTTATAGCTGCGGGATTAAGGAGGTAGAGTTTGATTGATAAAAGGATTCAGAATCCTGCTAGAAGATTGAGAGTTAGAAGTCCTTTTACAATCAGAAATTGTAAGCCGATGGAGTTTTGTACCGTTGCAGATTTGTGTTTCTAGAAGTTTTTTTTTACGTACAGAATTTGAAGGCAAAAGACTTCTGTTATGGTACTGTTTTGTGGTATGCAGACTCTTATCCAATTGCTCATGGTAATAGGCCTAAGGAAATAAAGACAATTTTTCTTTTGCTGATTCGGCAATAAAGAGTCCTTCATGGAGTAAACAAGTTAAACTCTCAAAAGGTATGTTAATGCATACTAATGAATTGAAGCGGTGACTTGGAAGTGGAACTTTAATTGCTGATTAATGGGCTGAAGGAAAGGAGCTTTATTTGTTGATTAATGGGCCGAAGGAAAATAGTATTTGGACATGAGAATTTGGCCATATGTAATTGTGGGACCAATTTAAGAAAATGCCCAATAATGGTTTGGAGATTCTTAAGTTGGTATATATATATATTGTGTTGGACCACTAAAGTTTTTTTTTTTTTGAGCCCAATACTAACTAAAGATATTCCATAGGCCCGATAAGACATTGAGTTTATATCCGGTCCTCCAAGCCCAAATCAAAGAAAGTTGTGACTTATTCACTCCAAGACACGTCGTCCGTGAACAAGTCTCGAGGGGGCATTTGTAGACAATTAAATTTTGAACCAATAAAATGGCGACAAGTGTCAAATTCCATGTTAAAATCAATTTAATAATTTTCTATTTTATTTGGAAAATTAATCAAATTTTAATTCCTAAATTAAATAGTTAATTAATTGATTATTTAATATATATTGTTGGCCAATTAAAGAATGCCACATGTATATTTTGAAGGCCAATTAAAGAATGCCACATGTCATTTTCTTGGAGAGTAAAATAAATAATTATTTCTTTAAATAATTATTAAAGAGATAAATAAGTGGAAATTATGGACCAATCAAATTGAAGTCTTCTTTTTCAAGAGTCCATCTTCTAATTATCTCTTTAATAAATAAATATTAGAAATTATGGACCAATCAAAACAAAGTCTTCTTTTCCAAGACTCTCTCTCCTAACACCTATAAATAGGGACTCTCCCTAAGGTGAAAAATCACAATTCATATTCATATTTCAAGTTCCAAGTTCAAGAGCTCTAGAGGATTCTCTCAACAAGATTCAAGTGTTCTTGAAGATCCAAAGGCGTTCTTGAAGATTCGAAGAAATATTCAAGCGCATTCAAGCTCAAGACCGACGTTCAATCCGGAAACAAGCTGCCAAGCCTCCGAATTACGTTATTAAAGTCAAATCCGGCGTAGAGAAGATCGAAGATCAACTTTGCCACGAAAACCAAGGACTCGTGTTCTTCACGTTCTTGGGAAATCAAGACGTTCGATTCAAGATCAAGCTGTCAAGCCCTCGAAGAAACGTTATTTAAACTCATATTCAAGACCGGCGGAGATCAAACTGAAGATTCGTCTCCAAAAGTCTCAAATCCACTTGAAGATTGTTCTTGAAGAAATTAATCAGAGGAATAATAGAGATTTGTAATCCACTATATTTCATTTGATCCGTTGAAATCCATTTGTACGAAGTTCTCGTGTTTATTAATTCAATAAAACGAATTTTGCGTTACAGTTACCATCTTCCGGTTACCTCTTATGAATTAAACACAACAACAATTACGGATTGCAGGCCTAATTCAGATGTAGATATGAAAAGCCTAATCTAGGTGATCAATCTAAACAAGACTAACACATCATGGTGAATTATTCAAAATAACACAAGCAATTCCAAAAAGATATTGAATTCATCAACCATATGAATTAATCAAAACATAGTCAATCGTAGGGTTCGACTTCCCCGGAACTAGAATAAAGAAACTACTCACTCATAATATTCAATAACATAATCATGAATTTAATTACATAAGAAAAGAAAAGAAAAGAGAATAAAATTCTTCTCTGTTCTCCAATTCGCTGTCCAGTCGCTGCTCTCCTTTTTCTCGTTCAATTGCTTTTTTTTTGTTCCAGTCTCGCAGCCGCAAGAAGGTGTAATCCCTATTCCAAGAAAAAGTCCAAAATATATATCCCCTTTTCTTATGCCACGTCTCTCTCTCTAAGTATTCCTAGTCAACATGGCAATCAACTCAAGTGGGCCTTTTATTCTACCTCATCTCAGTATCATAATAATAGCCCACTTCCTTCATACACAAAATATATGGGCCCTTTTAATATTAATTCCCCACGTCACCATAACTGAATTGTAAGGGCCTGCTACATGCAGTACGGGGCCTGCTGGTCCAGTACGGGACACCCCCGTACTCATTGGAAACTCTTCTTCGACTTTCTTCCGAGCATCCACACCTCATCGTGCAACCAGAAATAGCTCCAAAAATACTGAAAATCACTCAAAAACTCATCAAAGCACAAGTATTGTTCATAATATCAAATAAGTCGAAAGTTGCATAAATGCGGGGAATTAAACGTGCACAATTGTCACATTAGATGATTAAATGCAAGCACTTTTCTCGACTAATCAAACCACCCCACACTTGAACGATGCTTGCCCTCAAGCATCAAGCCAAATTCGTCATATCAAATTGTAATCACACTCTCTTCTCGTCTCCTTTGCCAATTCAAAATCATTTTTCACACAAGAAAACAAGTTATGGTGAAATCCTCATGTACCGACATCAATGACCGAGAGTCTCAACAATCAATCGATATGAAATGCAAGCGAGGATCAACACATCTCACGAGGTTCGCTCAAACTCTCCAAGTGTATAGGCTAAATATATATATAAGTGAACGCTCAAGTCAAAACATTGAAAATCTTTACCATATGCTTGCCATTGCATCACGCCCGACTATTCAAGAATGAACAAAGATTCACAAACATCAAAGGGTTTATAACAAGGTTGTAATGTAGGGTATGGGTAAAAATGGCTAGAGGTATTGACAAGCGAGAAGAATAATACACGAACCAAAGCAGTCATGTATGCTTGTCTGACAAGAGCATAGAACAGACACACATTACCCACATAGAGTGACCAACAAACCGCACATCCCAGAATAATGAACAAACATTTCTAGAATTTTTTTTTCATTTCTCTTTTTTTTTTTCTTTTTAAAGTAATTTTTTCACTAATACAAAGTTAACATAAATAAAAAAATATGATAAATATGGAATATGGCTCATATTCCCCAATTAAACTCAAAATACATAGCTTCCCTGAAAACCAAACAAACTACTCCATATACACACCCCCGACCCAAAAGAACCGCTGCTCAAAATCACTCAATATCAGACAAGAATTCACACACTTGCTTTCGATTTGAGGATTCAAATAAGATATCAACAAAAAGGAATTATGGCATGTAATGTGGTTATTATTCAAAGAAAAGGTCTCGTGGCTCAAAGGGGCTCCCTAATGGTCATAATGCGGGCTCGGCACAACGAAGAAAAAGGCCACAACAAATAGGTTCATTCCTAAGTACCCTTATCAATCATATGCATCCATATTCATCAAGAATCAAACATAAACGTGTATAACAAGGCAAGTTCTAGAAAGATCAATACGTTCTGACATCACACAATCAAGAAAGGGAGCATCATATTCATTATATGCCCATTGGCTCAAACCTCACAATAATCAGGGACAAATAGTGTTAATCCTTGTGCATTCGGCCATAGAATGCCATATGATCATCAAGAGCAATCAGTCAATTAAATATGCAGCAAACAAGGATTCCAAAAATTTTCGCACACATAAAGAATATCAAGAACCGGCATCGGAAAGAGAATCAAGCATAATCACCATTGATAATCCAAACAAGACTCAATACCGTCAGACAATCATCAAATCAGACTCTAACTCTAACTCCACAGGGCAAACCAAAATCAAAATCACCATTAACAGTAGTATATAGGGCAACCAACAACCAGCCCCACCCCACACTTAAAAATTGGCGTTGTCCTCAACGTCACAACACTAAGAATGCTTATAAAATAAAAGTAGAAGGAGTTATCGGACTTCCCTCGTCATAGGTAGCATCCTGGCGCGTGCCGATGTGTAGGGTCAGTATATGTGGTCGGGCCCGTTTCTGTGTTGCTGTTGAGGGGGTGGCCGGCGGGGACTTTGGTGGTAGTCTTAGGTGCAGCCGGCTGATGACGATGGAGGGTTCAGTGACTTGAAAGTGGACGGCGGCATTGCGGTCGCATATTTCTGCCCGGCCGGCAGCGTTGCGGTCGCTGATTTCGGTCGGGATGACGGCTTTTCTGCCGATGATTCTGACTCAGCCGACTAAGGTGCTGACGGCGACTGAGGTGTTGCTGGTGATGTGGACTGAACCGGAGATGGCGACGTGGGCTACAAAGCGGACAGTAGCGGGGCAGGCGGCGATGGGTTCGCCGTTTTGGAGTCGGTCGACGGCGATGGGGGTGCAACCGGTGAAGCTGGTGCGGCCATTGATGGTGTCGGCGAGGGGTCTGCCGATTTCGGCTCAAACGGCGGCGAAACGGGTGGCGACTCGTCAGGCCTCAGCGGAAACCTCGATTTGCCGGCTTGTACCTTGATTCTCAACATAACTACGTTTGATTTCAGATTTTCACTCGATTTTTGGCCGATTTGCTTTCCAATTTCCGCTCAATTCTCTCTGACTTGTGTTGTGATTTCTCAGAGTCTTCTGGAAGAAGATAAAGATGACGTACCCAGAGGTAATGTTGGGCTGCCATTGTGATGTAATGTTGGGCCCAATAAAAATAATTCCCAATAGTTGGCCCATAAGTCTATTTAACATGGCTGTAATTCCCAGTGGCCCAAAAAAACATAAGCTGCTTCCAGTAATGTAATCCTTGGTCCATTTGAATTGCACCCAAATTAACCCAATACCAGAAATTCCATCTGCACATCACACAAGGAGAAATTATCATGCAGTAGCAAACTGTAGCAGGCAAAAACAGCAGAGAAAAATATCTCTTCCTCGTGTATTTATTCATTTTATTCAATAAATAGCAAATAAAAACCACTAAACCAAAAATTATAATAATAATACTACTCATAATAATAATAATAATAATAATAATAACAACAATAATAATAATAATAATAATAATAATAATAATAATAATAATAATAATAATAATAATAATAATAATATTGGGTTGCCTCCCAATTAGCGCCTTTTTTTAACGTCGTTGGCTCGACAAAGTACTCCCCTTTAAACTGCCTGAGGAATGTCCAGCCGGGCTCGTTCCACGTTGTTGATTCCAAGTTCACCAATACAGGGCTTGAGCTTGTGGCCGTTCACCTTGAACGTCTTGCCCGTCGTGGGGCTAAAAATCTCCACTGCTCCATGGCCAAAGGCTTTCAAAACGACAAAAGGACCAATCCAACGGGAGCGTAGCTTGCCCGGAAATAATGTCAGCCGAGAGTCAAAGAGTAGAACTTTTTCCCCCTCGCTAAAATTCTTCCTCGAAATCTTCAGATCATGGAAGGCCTTCGTCTTTTCCTTGAAAATCACCGAGTTCTCAAAAGCCTCATTTCTTATCTCTTCGAGCTCTTGCAGCTGCAACTTTCTGTGGCCTCCCGCATCATCGTACTCAACGTTACACTTCTTCACAGCCCACCAAGACTTGTGCTGTAGCTCGACCGGCAAATGGCAGGGCTTCCCGAACACCAACCGGTATGGAGACATGCCGATTGGAGTCTTGTAGGCCGTTCGGTATGCCCATAATGCATCCTCCAATTTAATGCTCCAATCCTTCCTGTTGGGGTTCACCGTCTTCTCTAGGATAGACTTAACTTCTCGATTCGACACTTCGGCTTGACCACTCGTCTGAGGATGATAAGCAGTCGCAAGCCGGTGAACGACACCATATTTTCTAAGCAACGCCTCCACTGTCTTGTTGCAAAAGTGTGTTCCACGATCACTAATCATTGCCCGTGGAATCCCGAACCTAGAAAATATGTTAGAATTAATGAAACCTGCAACAACCTTCGAATCATTAGTCCGGGTGGCCTTTGCTTCCACCCATTTCGAGACATAGTCCACAGCAAGTAAGATATATTCATTACCAAACGAAGAAGGAAAAGGGCCTATGAAATCAATTCCCCAGACATCGAAAATTTCACAAATAATAATAGGGTTCTGGGGCATTTGATTCCTCTTAGAAATGTTACCTGTTCGTTGGCAATTATCACACGACTTACAAAATTCATGAGCATCTCGAAAGAATGTCGGCCAATAGAATCCACTCTCCAACACTTTATGAGCTGTCCGTCTACCTCCAAAATGACCTCCACATGCGTGTGAATGGCAGAACGAAAGAATGGAGTGGAACTCGGCTACCGGGACACACCGCCTAATCACTTGGTCGGCACAATGCTTCCAAAGGTACGGGTCGTCCCATACATAATACTTGGCGTCGCTCCTGAGCTTATCCTTCATGCGACTCTTCATACCTGTAGGATACACTTTAGCAACCAGATAATTATCAGCATACCAGGGTTCGGCAGATTCAGACGTCGCATTGCCTCGATCTTGTTGTTCAGCTGCAGCACAGTCGAGTATGGAGGTACCCTGTACTCCTGGGAAGGTACCCCGTATTACTGGGAGCTGCAAGTTTTCAATGCACAGCAAATGCTCGTCTGGGAAGCTCTCTCGCAGCTGAAATTCATCCGAGGCATGTGTCACTCGGCTTAAATGGTCAGCCACAGCATTCTCAGCTCCCTTCTTGTCTTTGATCTCCACATCGAATTCTTGCAACAAGAGTATCCAACGAATGAGCCTCGGCTTCGCTTCCTTTTTCGCCAAAAGATGACGTAGTGCTGCATGATCAGAAAAAATAACTACTTTAGTTCCCAATATATATGAACGGAATTTTTCAAGATCAAAAACCACCGCCAACAATTCTTTTTCAGTTGTGGTATAATTTTCTTGGGCGGGGTTCAATGTCTTTGACGCATAATAGATCACATGAGGCGCCTTATCCACTCGGTGGCCTAGCACTGCTTCTACAGCATAGTCGCTTGCGTCACACATTATCTCGAACGGAAGATCCCATTTAGGTGGCTGGATGATTGGAGATGTGATCAGCTTCTCCTTCAGTGAATCAAACGCCTTTTTGCAATCTTCGTCCACCCGGAATTCCACATCTTTTTGCAGTAATGAGCACAAAGGGGCTGCTATCTTTGAGAAATCCTTTATGAATCGACGCTAAAACCCTGCATGACCAAGAAAAGAACGCACTTCCCGCACACTTGCGGGGCAAGGCAAAGCAGTAATAATATCGACCTTCGACTTATCAACTTCAATACCTCGCTTAGAAACAATATGTCCTAAAACAATACCCTGTTCTACCATAAAGTGACACTTTTCCCAGTTAAGAACAAGATTCGTTTCAATACACCGTTTTAAGATTAAAGCAAAGTTCTCGAGGCCTAAATGACTCACCATAAACACTAAAATCATCCATAAACACCTCTATTATGTTGCCAACGTATTCCGAAAAGATGCTCACCATGCACCGTTGAAACGTGGCAGGCGCATTACATAATCCGAAAGGCATGCGCCTGTAAGCGAATGTCCCGAATGGGCAAGTAAACGTGGTCTTCTCCTGATCCTCGGGTGCAATGGGAATTTGAAAATAACCTGAATAGCCATCTAGAAAACAATAATAAGAGTAACCTGCCAATCTCTCCAACATCTGATCAATAAAAGGTAATGGACAGTGATCCTTACGAGTCATTGCATTTAACTTACGATAGTCGATGCATACCCTCCACCCGGTCTGTACACGAGTGGGAACCAACTCACCTACCTGGTTCTCAATCACGGTCACACCCGACTTCTTTGGAACCACTTGCGTCGGGCTCACCCACCAGCTATCCGAGATCGGATAAATGACTCCAACGTCCAACAACTTGATAATTTCATTATTCACCACCTCCATCGTAGGAGGATTCAGCCGTCGTTGTGCCTCCCGAGATGGTTTAGCGTCTTCCTCGAGAAGGATACGGTGCATGCAAATGGACGGGCTTATCCCACGCAAATCGGTAATGGTCCATCCGATTGCTCGTTTGTAATTCTTCAATACTTCAATAAGGGCTGCCTCCTGGTCAGGTTCCAACTTCGATGACACTATCACTGGGAGTGTTTGATCATCTCCCAAATAAGCATACTTCAAGTGGCTTGGTAAGGATTTCAGTTCAAGCTCCGGTGCCTGCAAAGTAGAAGGGAGAATTTTCTTATCAGGCTCAGGTAACCGAATAAAATTTTTATCGTGCTTTCCAAGATATGGTTTCAGCGTATTCAAGGCTATTACGGCCTCATCAATAAGCCCCAACTGGTACAAAGATTCGGTTTGGTCACTATCTCTCTGCAGCCCGAGTATGGATGTACCCTGTACTCCTGGGTAGGTACCCCGTACTGCTTGGTTATTGTCCAAACTTTGTGAAATCACAAGCTCCAGCTCGTCCTCTCTGTTAGTGTCGAGAAATCCTGTGCCAACGGTTCAACACAGTCAAGTAAATAAACACAATGGTCAGAGTCAGGAAATTTCATGGCATCAAAAATATTAAAACGAATAACATTTTCATCGAACTCCATTGTGAGAGTGCCTTCACGAACGTCGATTTTCGTTTGAGCGGTGTTCAAAAACGGCCGCCCTAACAAAATCGGGGTTGATATAGGAGTCCTGTCATTCATACTCAACACATAAAAGTCAGCGGGAAAAATAAGCTCATTAACTTTAACGAGAACATCCTCAATTACCCCATCCGGAAAAGTAGTACTTCGGTCGGCAAGTTGAATTACCACCCGAGTTTCCTTAAGAGGGCCCAAATTTAATGAATCAAAAATAGAGCGACGCATAACATTAATTGATGCTCCCAAATCGAGCATGGCTCGCTCGATTTTTAGATTCCCTATTGTGCATAGAATCGAAAACATAACTGGGTTGCTTCTCTTTTGGGGCAAATCCTTCTTAAATATTGCCGAGACATTCTCTCCCATTAGAACCTTCTCATTCCCTTGCAACCTTCGCTTGTTAGTGCATAGGTCCTTCAAAAATTTGGCGTAACGAGGGACTTGCTTAATTGCATCAATGAGAGGAATATTGATCTCGACTTTCTTGAACACATCAAGAACCTGCTTCTCAGCGTCTTCCTTTGCTGCCTTTCGCACCCTGGATGGAAACGGTAGAGGTTCGGGTTTCAGTGGAGGGCAAATCGGACTGCCCTTCAGCTTTTCAATCTCTGCAAACTGAGTACAGGGTGTCCTCGTATTCTGCTGCACGGCCCCATATTCTGCTGACAGACCCTCTTTTTCACATTCATTCTTCTCGTTTTGAGTCCTCGGGGCTTCTAATTCTTTTCCACTCCGCAAGGTGATGGCACTGACATTTTTAGGGTTCAACTCAGATTGAGATGGAAGTCGGCCCCCGAGTTGTGCATCTAGTCGACTCATATGCTCCGCCAATTGACTCATTTGGCCTTCTAAGTTTTTGATGCTCACTCCTTGGCTCTTGATATTCAATCCCTGGTTCTGGATGTTCATCTCCTGATTCTTGATGCTCATGTCCTGATTTTTTATGCTCTCTTGAACACCCTGCTGAAAGTTCATGGAGCTAGTTGCAAGCGTCTTGATCATTTCTTCTAGGGAAGATTGTGGCATGGAGTTCGGTTGACCATTACCCGCTTGTCGTGGAAAATTTTGACCTCTTTTTGAAAAATTTGGGGTGACCGATTATCTTTCTCTGCATACACTGCCCCTGATGGATTTCCATATCGAAGGTTGGGGTGATCTCTCCAACCGGGATTGTAGGTGTTGGAGAAAGGGTCATAGTTTCGGCCCGGCCCATTGTTGGACCCTATCGCGTTCGCTTGTGCCTCCATCTCGCCATTGATTAGAGGGCAATTGTCCGTGACGTGATCAGTCGTCTCGCAACGCATGCAAGGTTGCACCCTGGGAAAACCTTCTGTGGCTAATTTCCGGACAAAAGTCGTCAACTCTTTAACTTGAGACTCCAAAGCACCAATACCAGCTTCATTCACCGTCTGAAAAGATGCTTCCCGAGTGCCAAATTGCTGGGAATTTGTTGCCATATTTGCTATCAGATCCCTTGCGGCCGTTGGTGTCTTGTCTATAAGAGTGCCTCCGCTTGCCGCATTGAGCATGTTCCTATCCATGAGGGACAACCCCTCGTAGAAGTATTGGATTAGCAGCTCCTCCGTCATCTGGTGCTGAGGACAACAAGCAATGAGCCTCTTGAATCTCTCCCAATACTCGTATAGCGTCTCTCCATGCAATTGCTTGGCACCACATATCTCCTTACGCAAATTCGCAACCCTCGATGCCGGAAAGTACCGTTGGAGAAAAGCTTTCTCCATGTCAGCCCATGTGGTGATGGACCCCGATGGTAAGTAGTATAGCCAATCTTTGGCTCGGTCCTTCAAAGAAAATGGAAACGCCCGAAGCTTGATCTGCTCCTCGGTCACCCCGTTGGGCTTCATTTCGGAACACACAGTATGGAACTCCTTCAGGTGCATGTGTGGGTCCTCGCCTGAGAGACCGTTGAATGACGGCAATAAGTGTATCAGGCCAGACTTAAGCTCGAAGGTGGCGTCATTCACCGTCGAAAATGTTATGCACAAGGGTTGTTGAAGAAGTCGGGGATTGGCTAGTTGCCTTAACGTTCGTTCTTGCTCTCCCGCCATTGCTTCTTCCTCACTCGAAGAATCAGAATATTCAGTGTTATCGGGCTCGCTAGAAGAACTATGGTAATCAGTAATCACCGGATAGTCTCGCTCTCGGGTTTCTTGCGATTCCTTTGCCAACCTTGCTAGCCTCCGATTCTCCTTATCCTTCCTTGTGATTTCTGGGTTGTATGTCAATGGTTTATGTCCAGAAGACCTCGTGTTCATTCACCTGAAAGACAACTGAAATTATAAGTACCGAATGTGCAGAATATGTCGAAAGAACCGAGTTTCACACCTATTCTGCACAGCGAGTATGGGGTCTAATTATTCTGTTGGACAGAATATGGCGAGACCCTGTACTACTGGGAGCCGAAATTAAGAAGAAATAAAAAGGGAACAGGGGGGAATCTGAACTGAAACTAAGAAAATAAAAATAAAATAATTATGAAAACTAATCCTAATTTCAATTAATGGAGAAACAATTAACAACTCAATTCCGTTACTCCCCGGCAACGGCGCCAAAATTTGACCGCGCGTCGCAACACGGTCAAAATATAATATTTATTTTCCTTAACCGACTTCTACCAACTAGTAGTAGTAGTGAGCAAGGGTCGAACCCACAGAGAGTGTGGAATTTAATTGTAATTATTTTCTTTAATTGAAAACATAAAAATACTAATAAAGAGAGAGGGGTATGAATTAATTAACTACCAGAAATATGAATAATAAAATGAAATCAAATGCAGCAAATAAAGATGATTATCAAATAAATGGGGAAATATCTAGTCCACGGTTCCGTCTACACCCTCGATTGACTCGTTTAATAAATTTTAGAATCAGATTTCGCTATCTCATGGAATTACTAGCCCTAGGTAACGACAGTCTATTACCCGAATTTTTCCTTATTTTTAATTTAACCGCGAGACGCTCGACGATTAAACCTGACTTCTTGTACAGTCCGGAAAAACGTTTCAAGATTTAATACAATTAGCCGCTTTACGAATTAGAAAAATAGGCTAGACTAATTAGTGAACTCAACCGCGTTCGTTCACTTAATTAGGTCGTGTTATCCCCGGTAGTTACCATCTTCCGGTTACCTCTTATGAATTAAACACAACAACAATTACGGATTGCAGGCCTAATTCAGATGTAGATATGAAAAGCCTAATCTAGGTGATCAATCTAAACAAGACTAACACATCATGGTTAATCTTCCAAAATAACACAAGCAATTCCAAAAAGATATTGAATTCATCAACCATATAAATTAATCTAAACATAGTCAATCGTAGGGTTCGACTTCCCCGGAACTAGAATAAAGAAACTACTCACTCATAATATTCAATAACATAATCATGAATCTAATTGCACAAGAAAAGAAAAGAAAAGAGAATAAAATTCTTCTTTGTTCTCCAATTCGCTGTCCAGTCGCTGCTCTCCTTTTTCTCGTTCAATTGCTTTTTTTTTTTTGTTCCAGTTCTGCAGCCGCAAGAAGGTGTAATCCCTATTCCAAGAAAAAGTCCAAAATATATATCCCCTTTTCATATGCCACGTCTCTCTCTCTTAAGTATTCCTAGTCAACATGGCAATCAACTCAAGTGGGCCTTTTATTCTACCTCATCTCAGTATCATAATAATAGCCTACTTTCTTCATACACAAAATATATGGGCCCTTTTAATATTAATTCCCCACGTCACCATAACTGAATTGTAAGGGCCTGCTACATGCAGTACGGGGCCTGCTGGTCCAGTACGGGACACCCCCGTACTCACTGGAAACTCTTCTTCGACCTTCTTCCGAGCATCCACACCTCATAGTGCAACCAGAAATAGCTCCAAAAATACTGAAAATCACTCAAAAACTCATCAAAGCACAAGTATTGTTCATAATATCAAATAAGTCGAAAGTTGCATAAATGCGGGGAATTAAACGTGCACAATTGTCACATTAGATGATTAAATGCAAGCACTTTTCTCGACTAATCATTGACATAAACACATTTGTCACATTCGTTGATTTTGAAACCATTTGACAACATCACGTCATCAAATTTTAAATGCCATTGTTTCGGAGCTTGTTTTAGTCCGTACAATGATTTGATCAATCTACACACCTTTCTCTCTTGTCCAGGTGCAACAAACCCTTCAGGTTATTCCATGTATATTTCTTCTTTCAATTCACCATTTAAAAATGCCGTCTTGACATCCATTTGGTGAATCTCAAGATTGTGTAAAGCAGCAATCTAGAGAAGCACTCTTATCGACGCTAAACGCGTAACAGGTGGATAGGTATCAAAGAAATCATACATTTCTTTTTGTTTAAAGCCTTTGACCACCAATCGTGCTTTAAACTTATCAATCGATCCATCAGCTTTATATTTCTTCTTTAGGGTCCACTTGCATCCTAAAGGTTTACAACCATCAGGGAGATCAACCAACTCCCGTATGATGTTGCATAATGGACTCAATTTCGCTATTTACAGCTTCTTCCCAGAGTGGTCCATCTGGGCTGGACAGAGCTTCCTTAATGGAACTCGATTCATCGTCCAACGTATACGTAATATGGTCCAAACGTTTTCGCCGTTTTTACTCTTTTACTACGTCTCGGTTCTTCATCAGTACCCTCTGATACAGAACCATTAGCAGTTTCATGCGTTCGTTTATTAGAACTAAATTCTGCCCTTTCATTCAGAGAAAAAATATTCTCAAAGAATATAGCATTCCTCGACTCAATCATGGTACCAACAGATACCTCTAGATTTTCTGATTTATGAACCAGAAATCTGTATGCTGTACTATTGTACGCATATCCAATAAATACACAATCGATCGTCTTTGGTCCGATTCTCATTTGTTTTGGTTCAGGTACTGAAACATTAGCCAAACACCCCCACACTTTCAGGTATTTATAAGACGACTTACGATTTTTCCACATTTCGTAAGAGTCTCATTTTTTCCTTTACGTGGTGTTTTATTGAGGATATGATTTGTTGTTTCCCCCCACATGTTTTGGGGTAGTCCTGAATTTATCAACATGGCATTCATCATTTCTTTTACCGTACGGTTCTTGCGTTCAGTAGCACCGTTCGACTGTGGAGAATAAGGGGCCGTCGTTTGATGAATTATGCCATATTCAGAACATATTTGTTCAAAAGGAGCTACATACTCCACACCCCTATCACTTCGAATTATTTTAATCCTTTTGCCGAGTTGATTTTCAACTTCGGTCTTATAGATTTTAAACGCTTCCACAGCCTCGTCTTTACTTCTTAACAAATATAAGTAGCAAAACCTTGTGCAATCATCAATAAAAGTAATAAAATATTTTTTATCCGTTCTTGTTTGCACACTTTTCTATCACATACATCAGTATAGATCAAGTCTAATGGTTCAGTACTCCTTTCAACCGAGTGAAAAGGCAACTTAGCCATTTTTGCTTCAATACAAATTTCACATTTTGTATTTTTCTCATATTTAGAATTAGGAATTAATTCCAAATTCATCAACCGTTTAATTACATTTATATTTACATGTCCTAATCTCATATGCCATAAATCAGAGCACTCAACGATATAAACAGAAATAGGCTTTTCATTATCAACGGTTACACGGCTCTTGGCCATTACATTCATTTTGAACAAACCTTTGTCGAAATATCCACGACCAAGAAATGTTCCAAACTTGCTAAGAACAAACTTCTTAGCATCAAACACCAGCCTAAATCCATGCTCAATAAGAAGAGATCCGGAGACCAAATTCTTGCGGATGTCTGGGACATGCAGAACATCCTTAAGTTTCAACTCTGTTCTAGAAGTCAGCTTCAGCACCACAATGCCCACTCCAGCCACATCAGCCATGGAGGAGTTGGCATGTAAAGTTTCCGACTCTTAACAGGAGTGTATTCAGAGAACACCTCCTTATCGGAACACACATGACGAATGACACCAGTATCGATGTACTACTCCCTTGGATTATCCACCATTAGCTTCAAACACCACAACCGACATATCAAAGTCGATCAGTTCACCCGACACAGGGCCGTGTTCAGCCACAAGGGCACTAGGTTGCCCTTTTTTTGGACCAGCCAACTTTGACCCAGCCTTCTTTGGCCTTTTGTAATCTTTTGCCATATGGTTTGGCTTACCACAGTTGTATCAAGTGCCGGTAAACTTCCAAACCTTGTTTGGTTGTTTCCCTTTGTCAAGGCTCTTTCTTTTGCTTGAGTTGCCTTGCTCAAGCAAATTAGCACGAGCTTCCATCATCTGAGCTTTTCCAGATGAATTACTATTGTCCTCCTCAATACGAAGACGAACAAACAAGTCTTCAAGACTCATTTCCTTCCTCTTATGTTTGAGGTAGTTCTTAAAGTCTTTCCAACCCGGCGACAACTTTTCAATCACGGTCGCAACTTGGAATGACTCGCTCAGATAAGAGACATTCCCTCAGCATGGATATCGTGCAAGATAAGTTGAAACTCTTTCACTTGGGACACGACGGTCTTCGATTCGACCATCTTGAAGTCAAGAAACTTGCCGACGACGAATTTCTTCGCCCCGACATCCTCAGTCTTGTACTTCTTCTCCAAAGCAGCCCAAAGCTCTTTGGCAGATCCAACCGAGTTGTACACATTGTACAACTCATTACTAAGTCCATTCAAGACATAGTTACGTCGAACCATTGGTTTCATTGGTTTCATTTTCAGCAATGACCGGGGGGTCGTCCTTTAGGTATTTCACCAAACCCAAAGTGGTCTGGTAAAAATGCATCTTTTGTTGACACCTTTTAAAATCAAGCCCATTGAATTTATCGGGCTTCTCAGCAGTAGGGACATGGACAACATATACATGATTGATCGGATGCTGAGTATTGGAACTATTTCCGGTGGAAGCCATCAGTCCAGTAGGTTGTGATATTCTTCCTGCGATTGTTAGAAACTGGGTGTCAAAATACACGAGAATCCTGCGAACTGATATGTATTTTTCAGTTCTTACAAATAATCTAAAAATAAAAAATTACAATTGAACTGAAAAAATAAATTACAACTGAAAAATAAATTAAAATTTAAAATCAAAATGGAAAGATTACAGCCGAGGCGAGAAACTCTTTCGGCAAGAAGAATACGGCCCGTGTGGCAGCTAACGGTTCAGGCGTAACTTCCCCAAAGATGCAACGGCAAAATCTGTAGCACACCAGATTTACGAGCTTCGGCGAAATAGAACGGAGTCGAGAATTGAGCACCTAAAAATAGAAATAAAATTAGTTCTCTTTTTCTTACAATTTTTATTGTTTATTTTTTCTCTTTTTTCCTTGCTTTTTCTTCCTTTTTTTCTTGCATTTTTCTTCTCCAAATGAACAAGTATTTATAGAGAAGATTATGGTGCATTATTGA